TCCTTTCCTGCTCTCTAGCAATGTTCTGTTGTCTGCTTTCATTTCCACTTTCTGCCCCCACCCCCTCACCTTTGCCCCCTCCTCTGGGCTCCGGACTCTTTCTGCAGCCCTTCTACTGCTACTCCTTGGCTCCTCCTTACAGCTGTCTTTCTGCCACACCCCTGATCTTCTGGTAGGAAAGATCTACACCTAGCCTTCTCGGACAAGGGCAAATAATCTAGGAGGGCCCGTGTGCAAGTTGCGCACGTTAAAGATCCCTTGGTGGTCTAAAATCGACAAGAGTAGGCTTCGGCCGCCACCCGAGCAAAATTCAAAATTCCCTACCAACTGAAAATATTAGGTGTGTCCCGCGCGCTCAAATGACCTTATGCAGTTGCGAGCGCCGTAAAACACTTTACAAAAACAAATAAACAAACAAACATAAAATACGTACGATCTTTGAGCCCCCTTACAATCAAATTTCAGAAGTCATACCCTATTGAAAACGTTTTCAGTGTGTAAGGAACAGACTGGTCTTAGAGCCCTAAAATACAATTTTGTTAGGTTTAAGTTAAAGAACCGCGCCACGGTCAAACATTCAAGTACATGTATTTTTATTTTTTAAAACACATACTGTAAAAATGATAGATTCTCATCCTTCAGTGATATCCTCTGTCTACTTGTATGACTTCTTTGATAAAACATGGAGATGGAAAAGTTTTATTCTAAGGTCAGTTTAAATATTTCACTAACCCGCTGTTTGCACTATCTCTATAACTCCTCCTCCTTCTCCCTCTTCTTCCTCCTCTTCCTCCTCCTTTCTTCCAAATCTTCCTCCTCTTGCTACTACTACTACTACTACTACTACTACTACTACTACTACTACTACCACTACTACTACTACTACTACTACTACTACTACTACTACTACTACTACTACTACTGCCGGGTTTTTTTACACGTAAACAAAAACAATGGCAACGTCATCATGGCTATCATCAGAAACAGCGTCTGCAACAGTAATAATAGCTGTAACAGCAGCAGCAACAGCAGCAGCAACAGCAGCAGCACTAACGATATCAATAGTGACATCTATAACAGTCGCAGCAGTCATAACAAATGAAAACTACAACAAAGGAATAAAAAGAAGAAAACGATCTAGCCGTTGTAACAAGAAGTATTAGGCCTAATGTTTGGTCAATGGAACTTCCAACTTCAAGCTATAAAGCAAAGTTACAACATGCCTGGCTACGTAGATCTACTCTACACGTGTTCGTATACCCACCCGGAAAATGAAACACGAATTGAAATCCAATCAGCTGGTTGAAAGAGACTTCCGTGTATGGGAATCCGCCGGTGTGTGAGTGTGTGTGCGTGTGTGTGTGTGGTGTGTGCGAGTGGGATGTTCGGAGGTAAATAGACTCCCCTGCTCAGAGGAAGACAGCGACCCCAGTGGCACAGAGGTGGCCGACCCTACGTCTCCACAGCGGCGGGTCGTTCGCTTCCTAAACATACGCTTTTTTCGATTACATACTTAATGCGATAACAACTCTAGGGGTTGTCGATTACGGGTACGTTTCGAAGGGTACACTCCCGAACGATGTTCTTCGAACGACAAAATTAATTGCGCTTCCTTCGAACGATATTTGAAAAACAGTGCACATGTACTTGAATTGACAGTGCTTTGCAGAGGACCGATACTTAACCTTGATCAGATGTCTTTTAGGCTACCTATACAATAAGATTTTTACCTTGATACAGACAGAAACAGCATGCTCCTTTGTTGATTTTGTGCTGAACATCTACACCGGCTCTGGTGGCCTAGATGTTAAAGTGTTGGCCACTCATTCAAAGGTCCCGGGTTCGAATCCGGGTTGCGACCGAACAATTTTCTTCTCGAAAATTGTCTCTTTTCACCCCTTTTTCTGCTCTCTAGCAATGTTCTGTCGTCTGCTTTTGTCTCCTCTTTCTGCCCCCATCCACTCACCTCCTTCGCCACTTCCTCTGGGCTCCTGATTCTTTCTGCAGCCTTTCTGCTGCTACTCCTTGCCTCCTTTTTACTGCTGTCTTTCAGCCACACAACTGATCTTCTGGTAGGAAAGATCAACAGCTAGCTTTCTCAGACAAAGGCGAAATATCTCGGAGGGCCCATGTGCAAGTTGCTCACGTTAAAGATCCCTTGGTGGCTTAAATCGATAAGAGTAGACTTCGGCCGCCACCCTGGGAAAATTCAAAATTTCCTACCAACTGAAAATATTAGGTGTGTCCCGTAAAAACACTTACCAAGAAAATACCCCCCCCGTAAACGTCTTTACCCCACGGAGGGAAACAAATCCATGAATGCACATAATTTGAGCTTACTCGTACACGACATGCAGACATAATTGTGAGGCAGCGTGGTGGAATCAGGCTCTCGTCAATTTTGGGGCACATAGAGAAATTGGTATCTTCTCAAAGCTTGTTCACTTGTCTTTATTTGGATGAAAAAAATATCCATTTATCTTGAATACAAGTCGAGATATTTGCAAAAGAAGGAGGCGGGGGTCACCTGTTTTCAGAGGTAAAATTAGTGAGAAAATGGCCGCCAAAGATTAGTTGTTTCCTTAGCTTAAGAGTCCGTGGTAACTGAAAATTTACATCTTTTGTGCCTTTATTCAACGTTTATCAGTAAAATCCACACAGAAATGAGTTCTTGAATGGCCATAAAAGGTGTTGAGCCCAAAACCAAAAATTTGAGAAAAATTCGAAAACCTGCGGAAAAATGAAATTTTCTTCACTTTGATTATTTTGACGAGAGCCTGATTCCACCACGCTGCCTCACAATTATGATAAAACACCCATCAGATATGTATACATGTTCAGTAAGTAACATGCTCTGGCACACGCCTGAAAAAAGGAAGTTGGGGGGGGGGGGGGATCTGGGTTTTTATTCCTGGCCTTTTCTGCTGTTCTGCTCTTCTGCTGTGACTCGAAAGCAGTTAAAAGAATTTAGCTGTTTGAGGTTTGATCACGAACCCTACACCTTGGACAAGCGCACCATAACAGTTGGCCTCTTTTCAAAAGCAAAGAAGAAAAGTGTATATGAAACGAGATAAATTCCGTATTTGTTTTGCTCTCATCATCTTACAAATGCAAGACTTTGACAGGCTCTGAAACGTGCATTTCCAGAGCCGTTTTAAACAATTAACGTCACAGTTTTTTTCTTTGTTAGGAAAAAAAATCAGTTACATCATAAATAATTAATAAAGTCATCCAACAAAATATGTACTTTTAAGGATGAATATATCGAACTCGTTTATTATCTTATAGCATAATTTTGCCCTAATCGAATACAAGGGGCTTATTTCTTACCAGCCCCTGACAGAACATTGTCACCGCAAACCTGCGACTACCGTACGCCTTCTTATATCTTGCTCCGTCTTTGTGGTTGTGAGTTTTGTGGCGTAGTGTTTGTCTTTGTAACCCGGTATGTCGAGTAGATGTTAAAGCACGGAGCTGGGGATGTGGACGGCCCGAGGAATTATATTAGGCACATAGGGGAGTTGAATAGTGGTGGCGGGGAAGAGAGAGAGAGAGAGAGAGAGAGAGAAGGAGAGAGAGAGAGAGAGAGAGAGAGAGAGAGAGAGAGAGAGAGAG